ATTTTACAGTGTGCCGATTAGAAATGCGGTGGTTCTTTATCAAAATTTTGGACGTGATTCGTTGGCATTGATCCATAGTTGCATTGAATGTTAGTCGAGGGTAAATACTGATAGATATCTTCATGCCAATATGGTTCGGTTAAAATCTGGATGTTAAACATGAAAAATCTATTTTTGTCTGATGTAACGTCTAAAATAGAAAAAAGTGGTTGTGTAAATGTATTAATGATTAATTCATTTGAGAGCAATGGCATTTATTTTCCTAGTTTTCATAACGAAGTAGATTGATTTTTTTTTTAGTTGGAATGAAATCAAAACTACAGGTGTACATGTACTTGTGTTAGAGAATAAATCATTATCAATGTTTGAAGTTTTCTTCTATTCTTTTGCATGTAAGCTGAAATAAAGGACTTGTAGCTGGATATATCAAATAGGTACCTGGTACAAAAGTGAATATTTTAACTATCAAGCATTAGTTTGACGGAAAATTAATAACAAAATTTAATGGGAAATGGCTGAAAATGAAAATATATCCAAACAGATGATTTTCCGGGCTATTCTTTTATTTTAATGCAGTAAAAATTGAAAGTTCATTTTATTGTATATTTAAAAGCATATTATACAGCTTGATACAAGTTTTCTTCGTGAGTAGGCACAGTTGTAATGAGTTAGATTGCTCATATATTTTCTATACTCATATACGGAAGTTAATGCACAAAAGCGAACGTTTCCGGTCATAACTGTATATTATAAAGTCAGGATCCGTCAAGTAAGCGCAAAATTAAAAAAAAGAAAAGTCTTTCCTTCTCATTTTCATTGGCAGTGGACGTTCTATATTAGGCAACCTTTTTAACCGTCAGATTTGTCTAGAAGATAGTTAATCTCCTTGACGGTTCCTCGTCCCACTGGGTGCTCTTCAGCAATACTTCCTTCTATTGTGTTTTTCATATGCAGGAACCTGAAAATCAGACTTTCATTGTTTTCCCTATTTTTCCTATAAGGCCATATCAAGTAATACCGGTATCTGTTTTTGTGGTTTAAATATCCTCATGATAATTCAGTATTAAAACATTAGTGATTGAAAAATCCTTTATAACTTTTGAAGTAGGAAAATGTTATTTTTCAATGATTAACCTAAAAACCTTAATCTCTGTCAATGGATTGTGGTCTTTGATACAACTAAGCTTGGTCTTAAAATACCGGTAGCTATGAAGTGTCTATTTGAAAAAAGTATGAGAATGTGAAAGTGTTCGTTGGAACTAAAAAGATAAACAAAATTTCACTTGAAATAAAACAGAAAAAACAGTTTTTGAAGTAAACATGTTTGGAGTATGATTATGCATATACTTTCCGTGCACTTTGTGATCAAACGGTGAACAATTTAAGATAAAGGTGATGATAATTGGCGATAAGTTTGTTCGAGCGAAGCAAGTTGGTAGTATAATGTTCTTGGCGGACACGAAAGAGTCGATATGCTTGATCCTTAAATGAAATATCAGTAACAGACGGACAGACAATTGTTCGTAATAGGGATTCATGTTAGCTAGGCCGTATATATATATATATATATCAGTACACAAAAACAATGTAATTGTGTAATTGCTGTAAAATACTGTATTTTGTGCCAAATCTCGGGTTGAATGAGGCAAATAATCTGTTAGTTTCTTGGTAAAATAAGTGGGATTTATCTATTAAGAATGATATACCCCGTTAGTCATCAGATTATACACTCTGGTACGATACACAAAAGTCGGCCGGATGTTTACTTGGGGGAGTTCATTTTCCTATGGAGTTTTGTGTACTGACATTTTGATGAATAAAAAATTTGACAAATTTGGTCCAATTGTCATACCCTGTAAACAGGTAAATTATTTATCTTAAGTTAGTGATATGACATCATAGGAAAGAAGACCCGAGAATTTACCGTAAAGATTTTTTACTCAATCACTTTAATCTGTTTCACCCCCGCATTTTAATTTCGGGACTCGGACACCTGTTTGAGTTAGTTCAATCTGATGTTTTTACAGGGATAGTGTAGGTGGTGTCTACCACAGAGGTAAGCAATAGGCTTGGTAGCAGTGATTCATACCATTACAATGAGTGTAAACAATGTGTTTACACATTGTATTAATATGTATGAACGTTTCTATAAAGAATTAAGATATGACTGTGGCAAAAACCAAGTCTATTAAGTACTCTTCTCTAGTGAAGGAGCTAATTGATATCATATTTATTATTGTTATTTATTCAAAATATTTTGCTATCATTGACATTCTTTTGGAGACCAAACTGTTAGGACTAAAAAAAATATTTTGGAACAGGTGGAAATCTTTGGCTATAAAACATAATCTAAATGAATTTTATACTTTAGATGCATTAAGTTTTATAAAAGATTTTAACATTGTCAAGGAGTGACTTGTTTATGTTTGTTCAAGTGTACCAACTACAGAAATACCGCAACGTATTGTATGTCCGTAATTTGAGTGTAATTGTATAGTGTCAAAAGTACATATATATACAACAAATGCTGGAACTCGGTAATAAAACGACCTTCTGTTTTCTGGGATGAATCATCTAAGTTAGGAGTGAACAGTACAGCAATTTGTCTCGGTATTGGACGACTGACCTGTACAATTCACATTGCTGATAATTACATAACGAACACAACAGGTGTGGGAGACGGTGACCTTGAGAGTATATCAGACAAAGGTCGAAGGTCGTGGTGGTGTCGTCTGCTAGCTCACTGTCTGTTGGTAGTATGTAAATAGATGATCTAGTAGTTTATATAGTGGAGCTACCAGATTCCCAACATTCCATATGATATCTGATCCATTGAGATACTTGATAGCCAAGTGTAGCAGCTCCAGACAGACAGAAATTTAATTTCACCCCTAAAGTAAATTGTCATGACACTAGTATTGTGTCAAACAACATGTTTGACCCTCATAATGTTCATTATTGTATACTTTGTGTCCAGCTTGACCATGTCCAGTCACATGTGTTCACATTAACCTCTTTGGCTGAGGTATATATATAGATATATTCTTTTTATGTGATATTGACACGTAAAAAGAATATATCTAATAGAAAAAGAAGTTGTTGGTTTGTGATTCCCCATAGGAGTTTGTAAATCCTATTCCTTCTTTAAACTATATTTAACATTTCACACAAACTTAAAACTCTGCATTGGACATGGGCAAGCAATATTTTACCAAGGGGGCTGTTCCAAAATAGGCAATATCTGTACACAGGGGTGTAGCTGGCCCTTGTTCGGAGTGGATTCATTTAGGAGCAGGTCTAGGGCAGGGCCCTGGTAGGTGAACAAGCAGTTACATCATGCAGTGTTTCTGTTTTACTGTTTGTTCGAACATTTGGTGGATTCACCTGTAAACCATCCTATAAGCAGCTATGCATCTGATACAGTTATATTTGTAACTTATTTAGAGATCTGAAGCAAGAAACCCCTAATGCTGGGCGTCACACCTATATCCACTTGAATACAGGCATTTGAATACCGTCAAACTATGCAGAATTCATGCATTGAACCATTTCTGTCAGTACTGTATAGTAATTGACTAAACCACCCCTTCTCTCTAAAGAGTACAACTGGTATATTTCTGTCTAAACAGTAGAACCTTTCATAACAGACCATCCCATCTGTTAGTATATAGTAGAACCTGACTCGGGGGACCACCCCAAAGTTGGTATGTTATGTGGTTTACTCATTATCTCAATCGTCCCTGCAATTTTATAATGAACTATTCCAACCTTTGAATTGGAAGAGCTCAAATGTGTCTTCAGCAGTGAATGAGTAAATGTCAGGACATGAAAGTCAATTTCATGTGTATGTATCAAGTGATCAATTCAGGTACAGATATGTCAGACATCGACACGAATTTAGCTGACTGTGCTTTAAAACAAAATATACCAGACTACCATACACTTAAGCTGTGTATAAATGTACAGGTCTGTCGAGCTGTGAGCTGTAGGTATACAGCACGCTACTCTGATCCTGCTGAGTGATAACTCCACACCTGTGCAAATCCTTATTTTCTCGTTAAGAAATTATGTACCTATTCGTCATCGCATACCTGTCTGTACTGTTTTTGATGTTACGTCATGAACTACCAGTTGAAGGCTTACGTTTTATTTACTTTTAGAAAATCTTTTCCACTTGTAAGGTATTACGAACCATTTGACTCCCGATATGTAGGGACCTACACGCTCTCTATCTGGGCTTTGAACAGTTGTACGGAGGGTTGGGAGATGTTAAGTGGGTGGGGCTGAGTTATCTGTTCATGTCCATATATGGAAAGAGTTGCTGTTATGAGTGCCAGTTAGATTTGCCTGATAAAACTGTTGAATCATTGATCGTATATATACCATCGATACATTTGTATGGATTTTCACTGAATATTCATTTAAACATCAAATTCATTTCCAAAATATTCATATATATATATGTCTTTCCCATGCAATACCTTTCACATTCACCGACTCCTGTAATCTTGGATGTATGTAGTTTTGAATGAAAGTTTTCACTTCGGATCATTCTGTATTCAGAACCTGTCCCCGATACACTATATTAAATATCATTCAAATAAAATGAATCCTGAGAACTGTTTGCCAGGTCTAACTTTCTTGTAAAATCCATATTTGCACAGTGTTCATTTTGCCCTTTACATTTGATTACCATGTACTGGTTGTTTTCTAATAAACGCTCTAAATATAAATTCACCTTCATTATGAAGGGAGAAAAGGGGAAAGTAAAACTGTGGCAGAAATTTCTCGGTATACAGTAATGATTTATTAAATACCTGCGCATGATACCTCTGATCCTAATTAAACAATGTAAAGATGGAGGAACCTTATTTAACATCAGTATCCAATAATGGTAATGTTTCATTAAAATCAGTTTATGTAGCCAACCATTATTATTAAAAATAAGTGTGATTTTCAGATTTCGTATTCTGACAGTTTTGTTTGTTTGTATTTTGCAGACAGTACGGACATTGTGGACAGTAAGCTGAAGTTGATCCTGGGTTTAATATGGACCCTCATTCTCCACTACTCCATTTCTATGCCCATGTGGGAGGGCGAAGAGCCAGGACCATCAGAGGGCGGACCCACACCCAAACAGAGGCTCCTCAACTGGGTACAGGGCAAGGTACCTGACCTGCCGATTCGTAACTTCACCACCGACTGGAATGATGGAAAGGCCATTGGAGCTTTGGTTGATGCTGTTGGACCCGGTGCGTAGCATAAATGTTTTGTCGAAATTTGGTGTATCATGATTTTGGTAAAAATATGCAATTGAATGAAATCTTGGATGTTTAAACTTGTTTGTTGTATCAAGCATCAAAATAAGAAATTCTAGGCCCAGTCTACCCAGCTGTAAAATTGTAGATGCCAGCATGATTTTAAGAGGATGGGCTTAACTAGAAAAACTCCAAACTCTGTCCTGGTTCTATTTTTAATGACAACATTAAACAAAAGGATGTTATCGTAGATTGTTGATATTCCAGAAATGTATAAGGGAAATACAATACCAAGTTAAGTCTCCCACTTCGGAAAAAGGGTTGTTTCCTCATTGAAAAAGTTTGAAGAAACCTTTTAAGCTAGGATGGAAACATGTTTTTCTGAGGATGAGGAAGTAGGTAGATAACATACAGTACTAAACTGTACAGGGAAAGAATTTATAACGGTACATGTATAACCCAAAGCCATCTGCTGGTGGTCTATCTCTTCCATCTTTTTGGTGAGAGCCCCGAGCCCCGAGCTCCGAGCTCTGTTAATTGTTATTTCATACCAGCAGGATCCAGCCATTACTTCACCTGAGTAGAAACAGTCATACGTAACAGTGCAGCTTTTAACTTGTAACACGCCACAAAACTTGAGTCTATCAATCAATTTGACTTGAGGCCATTTTGGTTGTTTCTTTTTTGTGCATAAATTCTGGTTTATGAGAAATTTACAATGTGCACCATTTTATTGGTTGATAAGCTGGATGGCTACAGAAAGGAAACACTTAAAAATAGAAAAACAATATCGTAAAATAAAATGTAAGTTGTTTAACAAATGTGATATTGCAGGAGATACTGTTTTATACCCTTGTAGTTAAAGATAAGATAAATCAGGCAGAGTTATTTCCCTTCTGCCAGACAAAAAATCCAAAAATAGAGCCTGTCAGTGTTATCTCCCCTGGATTATGAATTTGCCTCCTCAGAGAGTCAAGACTTGCCATTTTTTTTTGTGAAATTTCCATTGGGGAGATTCAACATGCTCAAAACAATAATAATAATAAAAAGTTGTTCTTTTAATTGAAATCATTAGATCTTAGGAATTATTTTAGCAAGTTTACTGGCTGAAAATGTTCAATTTTTGGGTCCAAAATCGGGAGCCTCCTGTCAAAATAGGGAAAGTTTGCTAGTATGCACATTTCTTAGTGAAATACTTCCACAAAATCAATACTTGAATAAAAAATATGTGACATAATTTCAATGTTAAAGTTTCAAGGTAGAGGAAAGTCTATTGCTATAATGCTGAGCTTGTGTGACCATCTAGGTGTAACAAAAACGGTTTGTGTTGATAGGTCTGTGCCCTGACTGGGACAACTGGGATCCCAAGAAGAAGAAGGAGAACGCCAAGGAAGCCATGGATGCTGCCGACAAATGGTTGGGAGTACCACAGGTGGGTACCATTAAGTGTAGTGATAACGGTTGTGTAGGTAACAGTGGAGAGATAGTCTAATGGTCACATGATTTCATTACAAGTTTGTTTATCTGTCCACTCTGTTACAATCCATCTGTAGGAGTACTTGCAGTTAAAAGGAGGAAATGTAATATAGTCATAATGATTAAGATATCTGTTAATTAAAACCTGGCTTTTGAATTATTGAAAGTTTATGGAGAAATAATCTCAAGATAGATTTATCAAATCTTCATGAACAACAAATATGGAGTTTGATCCAAATTCTTGCCAAGCAGAACTCGAAGAACTCTTACCTAGGCCTTGTTGGGTAAAGGCTGCTTATATAAATTATTAATGACAATGTACCATGTAGTCGTCAGTCCTCAGTCCTACCTTCCCAACCCTCACTGAGATATGTATGTCACGCGTCACTTGTAGTTGTTGGTCTACAGTCGCATTACCAAAGTTACGATATTATTTCTAATCAGTGGCCAACGTCGGCAAATGCTGGATAGTGTTACATGCGTGTCTGTCGTCTGTAAAATAGATATCTCCCGATCTTCAGGAGATAATCTAACATGCACTTTTAAGCGTATATTTTGATACATGTATTTACCTGTTTGGAAAGGCAGTTCATTGGAGTTTGATTTGTAGCCAGTAGCTGGTAAAAATACCCTCATATAACAGATATTCCACCAGCTACTTGCATAAAAAAATCAGAATAGTGATAAGTTACTATGTAATGTATTGTAACTAACCGCAGACTTTGTGTTGGATACACACAACTATAATTCCTATTGAAACCAAAGAGTTCATATTAATATTGTTAAGTCCTAAAATTCTAAATTATGAGATGCACACTGGCTTCAAATTTTAGCTTTTAAACTAATTAGAAGAGGTTTGATCTTCAATTAACAGGTTACTGGTACATTTGGATAACATTTTATTTTGTTGCCACAATTTATTTCAAATCTAATTATCAAAATGAAATATTAAGTACAATTTTTCACAAATTTTTATTTTCCCTAACCACATACTTGTGATTCTAAAAAAAAACGGAATTTTTTTTCCTGTTATATTTAATAATCAAGTATATGTGAGTTTAAAAAAATAAAAATAAAATGCAACCCTGCTAATGAGACTGGCTTCTACAACCTCAGATGATCAAGTTCAAATGTAAATATTTTCCTTTTTTAAAGAAATTGCGGTGATTATTTTAAAACAAGATTATAAGGGAGAGTCCTTATCTGGTTCCAAAGAAGGATATACACAAATGTATTTACCTACTGAACCAGTTTACTCCAAGTATTGATGTCGCTAAACTCCCTGATTCAATGTTTCTCCTAAAGATCACCCACCAGATTACACTTTTTTTGTGTTCAGCAATTTATGAAAAAAGAAAGGATAGCAAGCGGTTAATATTATCAAGTGTGCCGAACTTGATCTCTATCTAAATAAACTACAAGTTGTCCATTGAATGGGCAATGAACCAGAATTACACGTGTATGGTTAGCTTCCAAATACTTTATATGCTGTCTTGTGAATTAATTTAAAATAGTTCCGTTGGTAGATATTTTGGACATTTTGAACTTGAATTATATATATAGACTTGATGATTGATTTGATCACCAATGTTTGTTCGATCTAAAAGAAAATTCCTTAAAAAACAGTACATGACTTTTTTGGATAAGTTCACCAGGCATATAGCAAAAGTGGTTCGTGCAATTAGCCACCCATAATACGGACTAGTGCTTGTACGGATTTTTGTTGTACTGATGTAAAGATCGGCCTACAGGGTTGTGTCGGTATATGTCACTTGTAGGACTTCACCCATATCTGTGTCTCTGGCTCCTTGCAGCTGTCAAAAAGTTTCAAAGTTTTTCGCTGTTCTTGCTGGTCATTTAATAATTCTAATATACAGATGATTCTAGTTTGGTTGGAATTTTATATCTCTTCAAGAAAAATAGAGATTTGGAAATGGCTACTTTTGAGGATGGCAAGGATGATGTAAGTGTTCATTAATTTGTATGTCAGGTTTTGAGATGTTTTGAAATAGCTTGTGATTTGTAAGAAAATTGTTTATTATTTTATATATTTTGATGTTTACAGCTCCTTGACCCGAAACATATGACCAACCCCAATGTGGACGAACTGTCTATGATGACATATCTGTCCAACTTCCCCAAGGCCCAGCTCAAGCCTGGTGCACCTCTGAGGCCCCGCCTCAACCCAAACAGGGTTCGCGCCTATGGCCCCGGACTGGAGCCCACTGGTAACCAGGTTGGTGCCCCAGCACGTTTCACCGTAGAAACCTTCAGTGCTGGCAAAGGATCATTGGAGGTCATTCTTCTCAACCCCAATGGTCAGAAGGAGCCGGTAAGTCACATGGTATAATAACGGATATCAGATAATACGTCATTGGATACCAAATGAAAATTATTGGATATAAATTTGAAAATATGAGATGCATGTTTAAAAAGGAGCTATCAAAAGTAGATTTTGAGAATTTTTTATTTTAGTTTAGATTATTTTACACATTAAAAATCTCATAAAAGCTAAGGAACTTTGTGTTGTAAACTGATGTATTTTGAATAACAAATTTCTGTGAAGTATTTTTTGCCTTGTCCAAACAGTGTGAGTGTACATTCAACAGCGACAGAAACCTGACCTACTCATGTTTATATACGCCCAAGACAGAGGGAGAGTACAGGGTAAGTTGTCTCCCTTTACTTTTCAACACTCGCAGAAGTTTTAAAGATCCCCGTACCACTGCCAATAATTGTAACTACACATTGGAAAATGTTTTTTCCTGCGTGACTTTAGCTTTGATAAATCATTTCTGATACCTAGCAGTCCAGGACTTTCATGAAAAATAATAAAGGTAAAATTGATAAGTAAAATAGAATCAGTGTTCTGAATGTAAAAGTACAGATGGACTAGACTGGGATTTGAACCCTGGACCACATATTGTTATAACTGTCGTTCTAACCGACTGAGCTACCATATGTACACTCAGCCGAAGTTTCCTGGCCTCATTGTGCTACAGTTATATCCAAAACAAAATTAAAGGGAGGTTACTGTAGATACGACATACCAGAGTGTAGTGGGACAGGGATTCTTACGTACTGAAATTTAATATCATTATTTTCTTTATCATAACATCTACCATAATCTTACATTAGTGGGAAAAACTTGACTGTTGTAACAGAGTTGTCTTCATCACATATACCGGAGATGGATATAAATAAAATGATTGATTAGAATGAGTGTAGTGTATTTTTAGAATAAGTACAGTATCATTGTAAAGTGTTGTAGGTATACATGTATCACATTCCTTGGAGTTGAAGTATTTTATGTCAGGTTGTGGTCAGGTCAACAAAGACGAGACCACGAGACAGTCTTGTCCAGGTCATAAATGACCGTTGGTGAAATAACCCTTAACAGTGTTTTATACACTATACAAGTTTTATGGGTACTTGATGGGTAGGTTTGTTTATTTTAAAACCAGATAACCTAGGAATGGGGGACGAGAGGTGACATTGTATATGTTCGTTTAACTGCAAGACAAACTTTAAGTAGGAGTTGATAGGAACATATAAAAAGGACCTGAAATCTGTTGGGGTTTACACGTGTTGTGGAGTTTTATAGGTTTGTGCGAGGCAGAGCTTGTGATATATCATCAATACCAATAGGTTGTGCTCCACTATGGGGGATTCCGAGGAAGTATGCATTCTTTACGGGAATTATTTGGGTTGAAAATGGATTTTGAAGCATTTGAACTTTTCCTGTTTTGCAGGGGAAGTTTGAATTCCATTAAAAAATTATAATATAAATCCAATAAAATCTTTCAGTGTAATCCTTCGATGAAAGTAGAAACTGGTTGTTTCATAGTTGATGTATTGCATTTGTCTTAGAGTACTCCTTCGTAATCTGTGTAGGGAATTCTGTTAACTTGACCTTTATCAAACAGTCTTATAAATACAACTATTTTTTGCTTTCTCTTCAATGTTTAACACGAAGATGTTCTTGTTGAAGGTGATCATCAAATTCGGCGCGAAGGAGATCCCAAAGAGTCCATTCTGTGTGAAGGTAGAGGGTGCTGCAGGCGACGCCTCCAAGGTAACAGCCACCGGACCTGGAATCCAGAAGACCGGGGTGGTCGCCGGAAAGAGGACACATTTCGAAGTGTTCACCAAGAGTAAGTGTCGAGTCCCGTGTAGCGTAGAAGTGAATGCATTATGACGAGTTGTTATTTATAGAATGCTAGTGCAGATTTGTTGGTATCTAGTCTCGGCATCTCAGACTCGTGTGGTTTTGTAAAGATGATATAATGCTAGTTTACGATTTTAAACCGTTAATAAATGTCATTGCTAACCTTACACCTTGTGGCTTCTTAGAGGTTTAGACTGTTCCACATTAGGATGTAGATCTATTTATAGATCAATTAGTGATGCCGAAATTCTGATCTATTTATAGATGAGCTATTGTTAATGCAACACCTCTGATCTATGTTTAGATAAATAATGGTTGCTGCAATAATATAGTTCATTTATAGATTAGTTGTTTACGATGCCTCTGATATATTCATAGATGATGATGGTAAGATAAGTAAAGGTTGGTATAATCATTCTGATATATAATCTATTTCTATAGATTACTGGTTTGTCGATACACCTTTTTAAGTATTGCTTAGTTAGAAAGAAGCTAATGTGACGATAGAAGGTGAAGTACTAATATTAGGAGTATTTGTATATTAGATTTGATATTGGACAGACAGCTTGCTAGAGTTTGTTGTTTGTTGTGAAGTGTGTTTACGGTTTTATTTATAGCCATGTTATTATTAATTGAAAAATTACAGAGATGTTTCTGTTTCATATTACTTATGTCTCTAACATTGAATCTTCTGCCATCCTAAACCTTATTTACTGAACTTCTAAAGAAAGACAACCATAGATGTCATTTCCTCATCCCTGTTTCGTAAAAAAATTACAGCAGTTATTTTAATAAATTTACAAAGAACTTTAAAATAAAATATGTATAATTTTTAAGATATAAATTCCATGCATTCATGCATTGTTTGTGGAAGAAAACAAAAACATGATTTTAAATTTTAAGATTCTAGACAATTACTTAGGGTGTTATTACCAATCCTTAACCCCGATTTCCAAATGCAACCTTCCTATCAAAACTGGCTTGCACGCCTATCCGCTTTGCGAAAAAAATAACATGGATGTGATGCAATATTGTATCCATCGTTTTTTCTTTCTATATGGTTTTATTAAACATTTATAGTGAATAATGAAAAGAAATTTTTATGATGTTTTGAATGTTTCTAAATCCTCAAAACTACTTTCCATCTGTATCGCATCCATTTTATAGTCTGGTGATTTTAAAATCCCTCCTGTCAGTTACGAAGCTTCATTTTGATAAAATTGCTTAAACAAAATTTAGTTTCGTTGATTCTGGGATTGAGTTCAAGATCAAAGGAAATGCATTTTGTGATTGAAGATGTCGGATCATGGGAATGTTATTTCCTCGGCTTTAATGAAATATTCACAATCGTTGTTGCTAAACTCACAAAGATCTATTGGAAAATCTCTTTATAATAAATGAAAAGCAATCGTGCAAATCCCAGAACTGGCTGATCAAAACATTCCTGATCCGTTTTACTTATGGTCCAATCAAAACGTCTGTTACTTTCACCTCTGTTGACCAATGAAAACCTTCCTTAAACTTCATTTTTTTTTGGTATTTTGTGTTTTATTTTACAAATTAATGGTGATTGGCTTATTCTAGAAGTATGATTTAGCTCTCAGCACACCTCTGCTTTTTTCCACACTTTTAATAAACAGATGCAGGGGGCTCCAAATTGGTAGGAAAGGGTAAGTACATGTGCACTGGGAGCACTTACGACCATTCTCAGCAGTTTGTATTTGTTTCCTTCCTCCATGTGTACTATTTGGGATTTTGGGGCTTGCTCTTTCATAATATGTATAAATATGTATAATATTTATTTATATTTATACTTTATTTTGTCAAATTTTTATTGTAGTGCACTTAACATCACACATATAATCAATCACTGAGATTTCTTACTAAAGTTTCGGCGAAGCTCAATTTTAGAATTACTGATCTTTTCAAGGGTTTATTCCTGTTTTGTTTAAAAGGTCCTATTTAATTTCAAACGAAAATGAAAAAAAGGGTTTCTATTAAATTCTGCACTTTTGATAGTCTTAAACTACGTTCAAGAATATCAAAACCATGCAAGATGGAATTAAGTGGGATTATACATTTTCTGGATTTCATTTAAAGATATCTCAGTGAGCATTCAGTCCATCTGTGTCTTAATATGCCATCAGAAGTCAGTCTCTTGACAAAATGTCTGTTTTATATGTTTTTCGCTAAATCTTTTTACTAGGAAATTGCTTGAAAATTGTTCTTTACATAAATGCGCAGTTTTGTATTCTGCACTGATATTTTTAGAAAGCTAAAAACTGGTTCTGTCTTCCTGAAAAAAAAAGTTACCAAACTTTACCAAGTATTTTGTAAAATAGATATATAGCCATTTGTGCATTTCCTTCAAAATAGTGTTTTTATGAACACTTACTTAAAAAAATAAACCTTCAGAGTTAACTTTAATTACACAATGACATAATGAACCAGACATGAATTCTCAATGGTAGCAAGAGATTCTGACGCACATTTTGACATTTTCGTTTTTGCTTTTTCACATGTCATTCATTGTTTCCATGGTAACATCATGTCACATGTTTTGTCACTGTCCTGTATGATGATGTCACGAGTGTCCACTCGAATGTCCAACTGCTGTCCACACCAACTTTTCGTGTTTTATAGCCTTGGGTTATCTTCCCATTCTTTGTCCCTCCCCATTGGTTGATATTTGAAACAAATTATCTCCCCTTAAATAACTCCACGACAGCGGAGACGCTACCACAGCACCCTCTAATTTAACAATAGGTCGACAAACGAATACTGACCTCCATGAATGTGTTCTCGTGCATTTTTTCCTGTAATCCGCCGTGAAGTTGTCACTGCAAAAAAAAAAAAATCCTTATCTCCTAGCCAGTTTCAAAATTATCCTTTTCAGCCATTGTGCGGCCTGAAATTTATGCATTCAATCACCTTAACTCTTGGTTTTAAATATATTTCAATGCTAGGTAGCTTTCATTCAAACTTTGCCAGAAGAGCTCCTGATATATATACTTTTGCTATTGACTTTTTTAGTAGACATCATTTCACCAGTAGTTCCTGCTCTATTCATTTTTCGTTTCTTTTCATATTTATTTGCTCATTCAACTTATTTTTAATCATATGTAGTTGTTCATTTTTTTTTTTGTATTCATGTCAAAATTAATTTTAATCATCAGTATCCTTTATTTCAGAAAAATAATAATAGAAAAGTGGAAACAGCTGAAACAAACCTTGATTAATATATATTTGTATTTTGATATGCAAAAAAAACTGTGTGTGGCAAAAATAATGTTAAGTTTTAAATTGTGAGTGTAACACTGTTGTGGAAAATGTAAGTGAATGTCACTTCCATGTGAACAAAGCAGTGTAAATAAAGTGTAGCCATGTTGTGCTCGGCCTTCTGGGTAAATTTAATGCTGTACAAAAATCCTGGTGTTTGGGTACTAACAAACTGTGTACAATAACTAATTTGTGTTTTTATTGTAGATATGTATGTTTTCAATTATCAAGAGTTTCCATTTATTGGTTGGCATTATGAAAGATTGATGCTGTGTTTAGTTTAATATTTGATCCATTTACAGTTGTATTATATATTCTCACAATTGGTAAAAAAATGATACTTCGGGAACATTAATGACATATTAAATTATTACTCTATTAACTATTATAAGTATCTGATCATTTTAATATTTTACTTCAATTTTGGCAATTCAAGTTACCATTATGTATTAACTGAAACATCCTGAGCATTTTCTAACCAATATGAAAAAATTGTGTATGTTTGAATTTTGAATTTGAAAACAATTTTTTTGATTGATATGTCAATTCAAAGATTTAGTTAAGAAAAAACCTCTGTATATTTGGAAATTTTGTGAATTTAAGTCTTTGATGTAAAACAAAAGGACGAGAACTGGTATCAAGTTACACATAGAGCTCAGGCAGCCTAGCTAGTTAAATATCCTATTTAAGTATTTCCCAAAATATTGATCATCAAATATTAGTATTCATGGATATAGCTTACTTAATTTGATTAAAAGAATATTAAAAGAGCTATTAAATATAAATATCAAAAGAGCTGTAAATTTATTTCTGTATCAAGCTGTAACTGTTGATAGGAAAAGTTGAAAATGCTCCACTGAAGTGGCCAGGTATTGGCCTTGTTTATTGATGACCTAGGTGTTGATGACATCTTATTCCTGTGTTACAGATGCCGGCAAAGGTAACGTCGATGTGGTCATCTTGGACAGCCATGGTCGCAAGGACACAGTCCGAGCCAGCATTAATGCTGTCGCTGGAAAGGAGGCCACCTACCTGGTGGAATACGTGCCTCTGGAGCCTGGTCAGCACTCCGTCAACATTTACTTCGCTGGACACCAGATCCCTCACAGTCCCTACGGCGTTGGAGTCGCTCCAGGTACGACCCAGACAGATACATTTGCACATCAAAGGGAGACATTCAAGTACCCCAAGTCACATGTCAACAAAAAGCACAAGAATATGTAATTCAAAAGTTAAAATGTTATTAAGTTGACAATTAAATGAATTATTCAATGGAAATTCCAAGATCACAATAAAATTGGCTACAACAGTATTTGGTTTGTCATGTGGCCTTGGGGTTCTTAGTATCTCCTCAGATTGATGATGATGTTACCTTTTTCATCTATAAACTATGTGCCTCGCCTTTTAAAAATATTTCATTCCAGACTTGTTGTACTGCCTTAACCTGTGTACAAAATTTCCTGGTAATTATCTGTGTAAAAGCCAATTGTAGAGTCTGAAAGTCATCTGTGTGTTGTATTCTGCCTTCTCTCTTTCCGGCATGAGGGAGGGGAGATAACCCTTAGTGTGTTCCTTCTTCAGAAATGCTGATTTTAAGATAGAGTACAGAATATATATATATATATTTTTGAAATTTTTAATTTTTCATGGTTTTCTATTGAGCCTCATAAAAGAGAATTGATAAGCATCATTGCCATTCTGTAATCTTACAGGATCTTGAAAAATTATAAGAAAAAAAATAATCACTCCTTATAACCACCGTAGTCAAAATTTAATTCTGAAAACAGGGATGGTCCCCCTTATCTGGGGCAAAGTGAATTCCTTTGAGTTTCTTTGAATAGGTGTTAATTTGTGACTCCAGTGATGTAGGATCTACAAAGTTTGCTTGTACACATTTGTAAACAGACCAAATCATAAAAATAAATAATTCATTGTGTGTGATTGGGTGATCTGTACACGTTCTGACAGATAAACAGGTTCTGTGTTTTACATACAACTTCATTTGGTGCTTGACAATCATTGTTGCATGAAATGGTGTAAAAATGTATGATCATTTCCGTTTGAAATGTCGATCCACAGCTGGCACCAAGACCGCTCCTGGTCCCGCCCCACCTGGTAAATATGAGTTACCCTGTGTGGTTATCTCCCGATATGTTTCAAATTAATTTCTCCAGTAATTTCATTGTCATTGATAGTGTGATCAGGGTACCTCCGGGTCACCAGTATTGAAACATCGTTTTGTTTAAGTTTCAGTTATAAATGGCGATAATTAATTTATTAACACATTTAGAATAAACATTAACAAAGATATGCTTGATATATTTGTTCCTAAAAATACGTGAAACAAACAAGTTTTTTACAACTTTTTTTTTTTGTTATTTGCAAAAATAAAATATTTTTCACATAAAATTATAAACAAGTTTTGGTTGAAATATTGTGATAGTCCAGATGTTTTTTTACTATTTTTGTTTAAAACATTGATTCACAGCCAAAGCACCTGGTAAATATAAGATGTTGGTTTGGTTTCATATTGGCCGATCACCAAACGTCGTCACGACGATCTAGTGATGACGAGGTGTTATCAATCGTTTAAATTGTGACGTAATAATCAGGAGACCTAGTTTGATTATGACATCACAATCTGATAGCGCCTTAATGTCATGTAGTAAGACGTCATGTGATCGGTCGATAACTCGTAAACGCTATGTACAAGATGTCTAGTCTGAAACTGTCACAGTAAAACAAAATAGGTCTTGATAAACCTGTTAAATAAAGTACATCACAATTTAGTACAGTATCTCCGATTTTTAAGTCCCTCCCCATTTCCACCCTCCCTCCCTCCCTCCCTCCCGGGGGGTGGTTTGGTGGGTAGCTGGTTGTATTACCCATATCTATCCTGTCGCATCCTGTCCCACTGCGTGTCGTTTTCATGACAATATAAGCTTTATATCTGAATAGATTTTCGTCAAAGTTTATGCAACTTAGTACAGGAATGAGAATACCTCAGACAAATTTGTATATCAGGGTTCCAAGGTCAACCCCAAGGTCAGTGTTGCTGTTTAGAGGTCAACCATTACTATTTTGTCAGTACATTCATGATCAACAGTTTACCAACATCAGCGGTTGAGGAGGGGGCAGGGTCATTTCTGTCTTACAGATGTTTTCTAGTTGAGATTGTGAACAAAATATCCAAAGGAGTTTTTCCATTCTAACCTTGAACAATATGCATGATGAGGAGACCCCCCCACCNAGATTTGGCCAAGATTTTGGTTTAAGTTCCAGATTTTTTTAAAGATTGAACAATTTTCAAATTGAAAATTATTTTTGAATATTTGTGCTCTCCTGGAATACCTCATCGAGTTGAGTAAGCAAGAAATATGAAAGTCAGTTGGAAGTTTTGTCCACAATCTAAAAAAGTGAGAAATTAAATTAACTGTGACAGACTGTGTAGGTCAGTTTTAGACTATTTCATCTACAACAGCTTGTTGCCATCCTGTGTATCAGAGGTTATCTCCCCTGGACCATACACTGGTGCGCAACAAGGTGTTCTGTCCTGCTTCAAGTCATTCATTAACATGTTGATATTCGTGTTCATTTCTTGTTCAACACAGTTCATACATTTTTCTTTTGTTCAAATATGACGTTCTTTGTGTCTAACAGAATCAATGTTTGTTATGTTTGTTACTTTGTTCAGTTCAGTAACTAAACACTTACACATTTTATTTACATTAAAAAATAATGAAAACATTTTTATCTACATATTTTTTTTAAAAATCAGTCTGTATAATCTACATATCTGCTTGTAATAAATATCAGTTTCTTATGTAAAATTTCTTTTCAAAATGTAATATTTTTTTCTAATTTAAACTATTTAATACAGAACTTGTAAATTGTGATACTACAATATTGTTTGTCATTTTTTTTTGTATACATTACATTCCATAGTTCATCATGCCTCTGGTTTTGATTTTGATTTTTTATCTGCATCACTCTATCATAGAAAAGATACACATTTAGATGTATCCATCATACAACGGAAAGAAGAATCTGTGTATTAGTTTCGTATTAAATGTTGATTTCACAGCTGGAAAAGGGCCTGCTGGTAAACAACCACCGGGTAAACCGGCCGCTCCTGGTAACTATACAAGTTGCTGGTGTGATCGACGCTGGTTTTACTATTAACCTGGCAACAACGTGAAAGTTTGCAAGCCGTTCACGTTGTGTCGTGTTATTTTGTGAAAGGCATATTTGTGAGTCCGAAAATAATTTATTGCTGCGAGATTTAAAAGCTTCTTATCTAAAATTGATAGGATTTTTTTTCCGAATTGAAATTTTTATTTTTTCAAAACTTTATTCTTCTGTCAGTGTATTTTAACATGAACGTTTCATCTCTAGAGATCAAGAAAAAAAAAACCTTTTCAAAACTTCTGACCCTATTGAAACCATGTGTTTGTTTTAATCATCATTACTGATAAATTGTCAATATGTAGATAATATATGTATGCAATCAAGTAATAATTATTGACTAATCGGAAGTAAATGTCCCAAATGTATGTACAAGTTTGGGGAAATGTTGTTTCAAGTAATTCAACTCCTGAACGCATATATGCCTTTCAGTTCATGTTAGTTTATATTAAATGTATTAACATATTATTTATATTTTAGTTTTGTTAATATGTACATTCTGTGATTAAAAATGAGCATATTGTAGAATAAATTATGTAAAGTGATTAAATATCTGAGACATCAGTTTTGTTTTGGTATTGATTCATGCAAGCTGAAAAATGTTCTGAAATTGAAAATTCTTCGTATTGAAACAACAAAATTGAATGGTACACCAACGGGTGGTTTTTGAAAAAGGAAATCTAATGAAAAATTAGCTGAGAGTAAGTTATATGTATGAATTACAGAATGTATATATAATTTTGAATGGTCAGGGAGACAGAATGTTTATTTTGTTCGATACAGTTATTTTTTTATTTATGTATTGTTAGCCAAGTGTGTGCTAATATTATACTGTGTGATTTTTATTTATTTATTTTTATATTTTCCGTTTTTAATTTGTTTGAAATTGTTTTCTGAATATTTAAAAAAAAAAGAAGAAAGATTGGGAGTGATATTGATTCATGTAGATTTCAGCGCTGTCTTGCAAGCACATACATACATACATGCATGTTTTACGTACAAAGTGGATTAGAAAAGGCAAACTTTATAAAACCACTGACACCAGTTAGACTTGATGTACTTAGTAGCTCTGCGTGTAGAATTAAATTCACTGGATACTGGCTCCGCCATTTGATGGCATGTCAAAACATTAACAAGAGAATGTGCGTGATTTGCTATATTTGGTGCTGTTTTAAAACAAGTCGAACATGATCATACATTAAATAGTTTTTGACGATATGAATTTATAATAAATCCTGAATAAGTCGAAATGGGCAGGAACTTGAGGATGAATGTTTACCAGATATTTTAGCTAACTGTTCAAATTTTGAGAGGTATTCAAAACTTAGTATTCAATGCTTCTCGTCCAATTGCAAGTTATAGTTATTTTATACAAGTGAAATGGCCAAGACTTGATAATGCGTTTGAGTTAGGAGCAGTTTTATCGTATTGCCGCTATAAATAAAAACATAAAAAAATGAATTTTGAAATTTCATCTGGCATTTCATAAAAACTGTAGAAAACTTTCAGTGTGTTAAGCTTATTGACTAGACTGTAGATAAAAATGTATGTTCATGACGATTATTCATAAAAAAATTGCTATTTCAGGAAAAGATTAGGTGTTTTAGCTACTTGTAGCATCATGCTTAACAACAGTTGCTATGGCAACTGGGGCAACTTCCTGTCAACAGTTACAAAGACCATTTAACAAATTTGTTGCCATGGAAATCTGTCACAAATGAATATTTTATTCTAGTTATTTCATTCGTGTTATTTCATTCGTTTTTTTTTTTTTATAGTTTTTCACCAATTATCATCAAGTTAATTGATTTAAGTTGTTTATGTCCTATGTAACATAAAATAATTGATACAGTGTTGTCTTTTTGTTTTAATTGTCCTGTGTGATATGTGGTTAATTGTATTTAAATGTTTTTTGTTTGTTAATTTTTTTTTCAAATATGATTTGCTTTTGTTAAATATTCTAAGGATTAAACAAAGATTTTAATCACGAATCGGTCTAATTGATTTTGATCTATTTTTAGCATCAAATGCAAAGCTGTGCTTTGCTACTGGACGAGGTGTCCAGCCCAGCGGAGTCCGTGTCAAGGACCAAGCGACCTTCAAAGTGCACACCAAGGGCGCCGGAACTGCTGAACTCAAAATACAGGTTACTCAGCCAGGTATGCTCCAGTTTTCTGCCATTACCGTAGTTATAAAAGTCTATGATATAATTCAAGTAAATGAAAAATTGAAAAATATCTTTTCATATCTGATATTTGTTTCCACAAGGAAAGGGTCTTTATAATCATGTGGTCAAACTTCTGATGCCATTTATTCATTAAAACATTGACTACATCATTCACTGTGACTATTGAAGATAAATATATGACTTTTTGAAGAATTCCTTAAACATATCCCTGCTTTTTACAGAACTTGCAAGATGTTTGCCTTGAGTTCATTAAAAATCGGTAATTTCACTTCAGTAACACTTAATCATGAATCTTTGGTTCTTGAATTAAATCATTATAAAATATTTTAAAGTTCATAAATCATTAATTTCAGTGATAAATCAATAATTACATTGGTAAGAAAAAGAAATTAATTTCGTTGATAAAGCAGTTATTTACCCTCATTACTGCTCTGCCACAGTAAAATCATGTATAATCCTGACAGCTATTGTAACTTAACTGTGTTATCTAGGAGGTAAAGAATTAAAGTGTACATCAGTCAAGTCAAAGACGGAGGAAGGTGTTTGGGAGTGTTGTTACGTACCAACTGTTAAGGGTCAGTATGTCATCAACATCACCTTTGGTGAACAACACATCACCAAGAGCCCATTCAAGGTGGAAGTCGGCCCCACCAAGGTGTCCAAGATCAGGGCCTATGGACCTGGTCTGGAGGGAGGCGTCGTCAACCAGCCAGCTGTCTTTACCGTGGAAACTAACGGCGAAACTGGTGCTCTTGGTAAGACAATTGTATATTGTATATGCTGATATATAGCACAGTTCGGTAACATGATTCTTTAAAAAAAAACACTTGTTGATACATGTTTTGTATTGTTAGAGGTTTTTGCATATTTTTTTGTAAGAATTCCTTTCTTTTCTGCCTTAATGAAAAACTTCTGTTGTTCTATTCGAACAATATTTGTATTAAAGTTCTAGATTTGTTTTAGAATTTACATAAAGAGATGTGTTCAAGGAGCTTAGAGAATACATCATTGAAAGGAGACGTGTGATTTTGTACAGGACCTGTTGAGATAGCAAAGCGTTCTTTATTTCTTAGGGTTCTCCATTGAGGGTCCATCACAGTGTAAGATCGATTGTAGAGACAACAATGACGGCTCTGCCGACGTAACATACTACCCCAAGGCCGAGGGTGAATATGCCGTACATGTACTCTGTAACCAGGAGGATATCCCACAATCCCCATTCATGGTGCCCATCGGACCTGAAACCAAGGAATTTGATTCATCCAAGGTAAAGTTATTTGTCAGTCAAATTTGAATAACAATAGAACCTCTGTAATCCTAACTCCAGTGGTCTGAAACTATCTCTCCAGACAAAAAAGGTGGTTCCTCCAAGGGTACATGGTATCTTATTGTGAGATGTACCTCCTTTACAAAAAGAGTTCTACATGAAGAAATCTGTCAAATATCTGTGAAGGATGTTATATTTCGACTTAATTAATTAACTAAAAACATTTTAAGAAATAGATTTTTTTTTACGTTTCAATAACTCTTTTAAGTAGATCATATTTATTTAAACCTTGGTAAGGGAGATAACTCAAATAAATCACGGCTATACAATTTTAAGTAGTATAGAAATTGGCTATTAACAAGACTGAGAAATCTGTAAGTCATCACTGAATTCGTGTTTAATCAAACTTGATTTGGCTAAAGAATAATACTTTAGAGGTTGTATAGATTACATCCAATATTTCCTCCTGTCAATGAAAAGATGATAAGTATGTATTGATGTTTGTCATGTTTAGGTCATTGCCAAGGGTCCTGGTCTGGAGAAGACTGGAGTCAAGGTTAGTACCTGGGCCGAGTTTACTGTCGATGCAAAGAAGGCAGGCAAGGCTAGCCTGAAGATCTCCTGTCTGGACGTCGACCTCAAACCTGTCGAGGTCCAGATTAAGGACAACAGGGACGGAACTTACTCTTGTAAATACATGACCAAGCGTGCCGTCAAACACACCATCACCATCACCTGGGGAGGAGTACAGATCCCCAACAGTCCTTTCAGGGTGAGTAGAGGTCACTAGTAAATACAACACCACACACACCATCAAACGCACCATCTCCTCTGGAGGAGTACAGATCCCCAACAGTCCATTCAGGGTAAGTACAGGTCACAAGTAAATACAACACCACACACCGTCAAACGCACCATCTCCTCTGGAGGAGTACAGATCCCCAACAGTCCATTCAGGGTGAGTACAGGTCACTAGTAAATACAACACCACACACCATCAAAAGCACCATCACATGCAACCTGATCTGTACATATAACATGGATTGATCACAAATTAATGATTTTTTTTTTCTCACTATTTGGCTTGCACCAAATATTTTTGCAAAAATCACAACATTTTCAACCCACAATTTTCAACCCACAAATTGAATAAAATCTGGTATTGTGACAAAGAGGTGTGATGTAAGATTCATTGTGGCATGTGATTTGTCTACAGGTGTTGGTCGGAGAACCATCCAAGCCAGGAAATGTCAAGGTGTATGGTCCTGGAGTCGAGAAGGGAGTGAAGACCGGAGTCAAGACCTATTTCGTTGTGGACTGTAAGACTGCTGGTCCAGGTGAGGAAAATATCTTACTGCTTTAGACGATATGAATGTGTATTGTCTTTTAACAGATTTGAAATTTTCTGTATAGCTGAAAATATGTTACGCAAATCAATGAAAAGTTTTACAGCAGATGTTAGTCTGGTTGATAACCGTCAGAAACAGCGGTGAAAATTCAAGTTAAAAATGTTTATTTTCAGGCGATATCAGCATTGCATTGACTGATGAACGAGGAAAAGATGTTCCCGTCAAAACCGTTGACAACAAAGATGGCACTTTCAGAATCGAGTACGAACCAAAGACGCCCGGAACCTACGTTGTACAGGTTTACTTCGCTAACAGTGAGATCCCGAAAAGTCCCATTAAGGTCACCGTCGAGTCCAGTATTGACCTCAGCAAGGTCAAGGTCGTAGGATTAGATACACGTAAGTGTTTCTGTTTAAAAATCAAGCTTCTTGGTCAAGGTTACGACACTTGCACATTTTACACACGGAGATGGGAGGTGAATTTGTATTTAAGTCCAAAATCAGAAGATTTTGATAATTGCACATAACAAATAACTGTGGGTGGTTTATTGGAATTTTTATGTTTTGTTCGGCACTAACTTACAAGGACATTGGGCAAGTTACTTATATATTTCAATGGTTGGGGTTTCATTTCTAATTGTTGTCTGCTTTCACAGTGTATTTAAAGTATACACACCTTTTATTACAATGGTGAAAGAATTTTACTTACGATTTTTGTATTGCTATATTTTGTTTTACTTACAATTTCATATAAAATGTACTAGATTTACTTTGTTTTTCCTACTCTTTTTTTCCTGTTTTCTTTACTTCATTCTCCTGACTCTCTCTTACTGTAGCTATGAGGGTCAATGAACCAAGACAGGTTGATATCATTACAAAGGATTGTGGGAAATCTCCTACACCTGCTACAATCACAGTTCTCTCCCCTACCAAGAAGAAGCGAGATATCCCCGTAAAGGAAACCCCTCAGGGTTATACTGCCAATCTCACAATGTTGGAGCCTGGCCTTCACAAGGTCACAGTTACATACGCAGCCAAGGAAGTCCCGAAATCTCCATTCTCAGTCACCGTCACCCCAGATGTTGCTGCCAAGGTCAAGGCCTATGGACCTGGTCTCAAGGGTGGAAAGGCCCACCAGCCTTGCACATTCACTGTCGACACAAGGGAAGCAACTGCCCCTGGAGGTCTCGGTGTTACAATTGATGGGCCCAAAGAGGCGAAGATTGATTGTGTTGATAATGGTGATGGCACATGTAACTTCACCTACGTGCCAGAGGTTGAAGGAGAATATCGCGTCAACATCACATATGCTGAACAGCCAATTCCAAATTCACCTTTCAAGGCCAAAATCCTACCTGGACCCAAGGTCGATGCCACTAAGGTCAAGGTCGTAGGTTTGGACAAACGTAAGTTTGTCTTGCGTGGAGTGCTGTGTTGTAATAAAATAAAAGCATGGGAAGGATATTGTTTATCTTATCTTTCCTCAAATTCTGTCTATTTATTTCTTCTTTTCCCTTTTTCTCTGTGAAGATTTGTGTTTAATTACTTAATAAGAATGTCTGTCTGGTTTCGTTTCCATAGCAATCAGAGTCGGTGAAGTTAGACCTGTCGACATTATCACAACCTCTGCCGGTAAATCAGACCAGCCTGCCAAGCTCTCTGTTCTCTCACCATCTGGCAAGAAGAAGGACGTCCCTGTTAAGGAAACACCCCAGGGATACACATGTCAGTTCAGTGTACAAGAACCTGGACCACACAAGGTCACTGTGACCTACGATTCCAAAGAGGTCCCCAAGTCCCCATTCAATGTCAACGCTGTACCAGATCTGTCCAGCAAGGTCAAGGCCTATGGACCTGGTCTCAAGGGAGGAAAGGCTCACCAGCCTTGCACATTCACTGTAGACACGAGGGAGGCAACTGCCCCCGGAGGTCTCGGCGTAACTGTGGAAGGACCAAAAGAGGCTAAGATTGACTGCGTCGACAATGGCGATGGTACCTGTAACTTCACTTACTTCCCTGAGACGGAAGGCGAATACAATGTTAATGTCACGTATGCCGAACAGCCAATCCCCAACTCTCCGTTCAAAGCCAAGGTTCTTCCTGGACCAAAGATTGACGTTGCTAAAGTCAATGTCCTTGGACTGGACAAACGTAAGTGTTCAACCCGTCACAGAAGAAATTACCAATTATTCATTTTTGTGAAAAAATAACCAAAAAAAGAAATATTTTGAATTTGAAAGAAATGTATGAGGATAAAAAAGGTATAGGTTTTATGTGTTTTTGTGATGGGTTCAATGTACATTTTCATGATTTAAAATTTTCTTTACGCTGTAGCAATGAAGGTCAAAGAACCAAGGCAGGTAGATATCGTAACCACAGCAGCTGGTAAGTCTGACACTCCAGCCAGGCTTTTTGTAGTGTCCCCATCCGGAACCAAAAAGGACATTCCAGTAAAGGAAACTCCCCAGGGATACACTGCATCAGTCACCTTGTTGGAACCCGGACCGCACAAGGTCAATGTTGCCTATAACGGAAAGGAGGTACCTAAATCACCATTCACGGTCGATGTCCAGCCAGATGGTTCAGACAAGGTCAAAGCATATGGTCCAGGTTTGGAAGGAGGCAAATCCAACCAGCCTTGCACATTCACTGTGGATACAAGGGAGGCAACTACTCCCGGTGGTCTCGGCGTAACTGTGGAAGGACCCAAGGAAGCTAAGATCGATTGCGTTGACAATGGCGATGGAACATGTAACTTCACCTACATGCCCGTCGAGGAGGGAGAATACAAAGTAAATATCACGTATGCCGAACAGCCAATCAAAAACTCGCCCTTCCGTGCCAAGATTGAGCCCGGACCCAAGGTGGATCTTAGTGGAGTGACAGCTTACGGACCCGGTCTCAATCCCAAGGGTAATCATCCTACCCATAATGCATTGCTACGCATGGATTTGTTTGGATGAATTTCCTTTACTCATTAATATTCCCTGCGTGCCTGTTATAATAATCGAGCGAAGCCAAGCATATATCATGGCCGCCAACACCCCTCCTCATTGTGAAATGGTATGGTCTGCATCATAGACTGGTCTACCAGGAGGGGTGCAAGGTCTAAACATGCTGTAGCTTGCTTGAAATTCATCTAATATTTTCAGCTTGTCTTTTCAGTATAGTAGATTGGTTTGCATTTTCCTTCTTTTTTCTTACTATTTAGACTTTCAGGTAGTTTGCAGTGCATGGGAGATGGGGGAATGAGTAAATGGAATGAATACTTAAGCCGATTGCATGGCTGGCTTGTCAAGATACGATTTTATTGTACTGATTTATTGGTACTTTCATCATTTAAAAAAAAATCAATAATTGTTAGTTACAATTATCTACTTCTATATAAAAAATTAAAAAATCGAAATTATTTCTTGCTGAATGGAGTTGGTAACAAAGTGAGTGTATGATTCATATTTGTAGAACTAGAAATAAGTTTTAAATAGAAAAATGATTGCTTGCAGCATATTCGGCCAAATTTTCTTTATCAAGTAAAAGTTTGCGGTATACATGTAGGCATGCTTGAACTCTCCAGTTTCAGATATTTCCTTTTATTATTTCTGTCTATCATTTGAAACAATTTATGGATTGTATGACCAAAGCTCTAAAGACAAGTCTGTAGCCCTAACAACAGTCTCCCCTATCACTCTAACTGTGTGCATTTGCCTGTTGACAATTTGACCATTAATTTCGTGTTTAACTGTGACTGTTTGTCGTTTCAATACAAACATTTAGCCCTTAACTTGATGCAGCAGTAATACCTTGTTTGACTGGACTCAAAAATAATATGATTCCCCCCCCCNTTATAAATTTTTTCTTCTGAAAGTTAAAATGTCCAGACCGACAAGGTTAAGCTGTATATATACACATGAACTTCAGTAACAATGCTATGAATTAAGTGTGTGTGTATTTGTGTTGGCCATTAATGCAAAACCCCAGTAGAAATTTTAATTAAATATGGGTACATCTATTACACAAAATTAAATGTATTCTAGCATTTATTTACAGCTTCACCATAAAAGCCGGGGCAATATATGTCTCCATGTAAATTGCCTCTATGCAAATTCCAATTTTTACATGATCATTAAAATATATATAAAGCCTTATTTTAACAGACCTTATTTGCATCCTTCTGGTGAAAAACATTTTTTGAAAAAAGATATGGATGATTTTCTGATAAAGACAAGAAAGAAAATCTGCCATTCAATAGCTGTTTGCTGCTTTGACAAATTTATATGTATATTTTATGCACCATATATATACACAATTCTTCATAATTCTACTGTATAAAAAATTATTGCATTATAAATGCTTATACAGAATACAGGTAAAATAAAATTCGAAGTTTGCATTTGATTTGAGACTTACTTCGAATAATGTCCTTATATGTGTTTTAAATAATTAATAAATTGACTAATATGCATTTTATCTAAATTTTTAACTAACCCTGCACACGAAGCCTTAATGGAATTTGACCAAGTTTGACCAATTGTTAGGATGACCACAACAAAATTTGATTAAGTTTTGGTTTGATTTGTGAAAACTGGATGATTGGATCATGGTGATACATAAATTTGAAATTTACAAATTAAAATTGAAAGCTATCTTGCATTTAATAGCTGGATTTGCTGCTTGGACAAATATATATTGTATAACAGTGCACAAAATAAATAAATATACATGTACATTAATGTTTGATAAGAATATTAATAAGTTTGAGTTTTATCTTCAATGGACTTTTAGTGATAAATCTGCATTAATGGTAAACATATGTGGATTAAAATATTAATGGATTAACTATAATGGATATTAATTGAAATGTTGCTTGCAAAATACAGTTACCTCCCTTGCTGTGTTTTTTTCTTTTCAACGTTGATAGTGATTGAAAATAAGAGAAGTTTTACATAGGAACTTGAAATGAAAAATGAAAATTTCTAAGGAAAGTAATTGCAATTATGACAATATTTTATACGAAATGTAGATGATGCATTCTTCATAAGTGGAAAACTTAATTTTGAAAACTAATAGATTAAATTTATTTATTCATCATGCATTGCTTTCATTATTAAAAATATTGAAACTACAGATTTTTGTGTCAAACTTTTTAAATGTAATTGTGCATGTTTTTTGTAGGTGTATTTTTGGAATCTCTTTCCGAGTTCACCGTTGATGCCAAGTCCGTCACACCTGTTGGAGAGGGAAACATCCGTGCTATTGTCACAAGCCCAAGCGGAACCAAGCACGACAGCATTGTCACCAACAAAAAGGACGGTACCTACAACGTTCTCTACACCCCAGAGGAACAAGGTGTGTGCACTTATTGTTTGGAATGGAAATTTGTAGAAGACAGATTTCTTCCATACTGATATTTTTATTCTCATCAAATCTATTAAGAAAAGGGTAACTGTATAGAGATTTGTTTTTGTCTCGCTGCCCCAAAGTGGAAGTGAGACTTAAGTGTTGATTTTCCGGCATCAAATGCATTAAATTTCCATGCATTAAATGCTGGATGCAGCCTACCTTTCATGGTCCATTGACTTTGTCAGCATCTCAATCAACATTAAGATTTTGTGTTTAAGTTAGTTTCTCTGATATGTGCATTGATGGTCAAAGCGGGGCATAGGCGAGACATGTTAATCCAAATGGCTTGTTTATAGAAAGGTCAGTTCAGCTGTGATAAAGAACACAAAAGATGTGATTGTTTGGTTCTTGTATATGAACCAGTGGGTCGCATCTAATGTTCCTGTAGTTGTTACCAAAAAATGCGAGATCAAATCTACGAAAAGTCACTAGGAAAATGTTTACAAAAACTGAAGTCATCAAATTCAAATATGCAAAGTGAAAAAATTGCCAAATATTGCATTTAAAATTTTAATAAAAAAAAAAGAGTAGAAAAAAGTTTTAGTGTTACAGAGTGATTAACCTGATTCTTTGATTGATTGACAGGTCCAACAACCATCGATGTCACTTACGACAACATGCCGATCCCCAAGAGTCCTTTCAAGGTGAACACAGTTCCTGGAAACGACGCTAGCCGTGTCAGGGCTTACGGACCTGGACTTGAGGGTGGTTTGTCATGCGACACCCAGCAGTTCACTGTTGACGTCAAGAACGCTGGACAGGGTGGCATTGGGCTTGCCATCAATGGACCCGTAGAGGCACAGATAAACTGTAATGACAACCGCGACGGCACTCTCACTGTTGACTACCTCCCAACAAAACCCGGGGACTATGATGTGAACATCAGCTTCGCTGACCAACCTATCCCAGGTAGAGTGCAATTTTTCTGATGTCAGACTTCCCATCCTATAGAAAATGGAAACTTTACAATCTATTCTGACAACCCAGCCAACTTACAGTTGAACATACTGAAATTAGTTTTTTTTCCAAAATTTGGAAATGTGAATCAAAACTTTATATTTGCTTTTGACTCTTTAAAATATTCCTGGTTAGTGAACTTTTCATTTGGAAAATATTACAGCTATTTATATAAATGTTTCATAGTTGGCAATGTAATTCTTCTGGGTATATTTTTCATATTGATTTAGATAATGGTAAGTGGGAGTTATCTCCCCTACACTACGTTGAACACAATGCAGTATTGTGTTACTTCGGTTTCTGTTTTCCCTTAATGCATGTAAAGTTTATTTTTTACCTTTTATACAGTAACTATAAAATGGTTTGCTCCTTAGATGATATAGCTATAAGTTGTCTGCATCCCTTTCCAGGCTCACCGTTCCATGTTGGAATCAAGAACCCAGTGAACCCCGCCAAGGTCCAGTGCTACGGCCCTGGACTGGACAGCAAGGGCGTCCGCGAAGGCTCTCCAGCGACCTTCACCGTGGACACAACTGAGGCCGGAGAGGCTCCCCTGCAGGTCACTTACACTGACAACCAAGGTAATATTGACCACCGGTCAATACAAACTCATAATTAGAGAAGTTTTAAGCTGTATTTGATAAGGTTGTTTACACGAAAAAAATATCTTCTTTACGCTAGCAATTACTTGTTCAATAGAAAAGTTGCCAATTCTAACATAAAAAACATTTTGAACTTGAAATTTTGTTCAAAACATTTCTTTTAAAAATCGTATTTAACAAGTTATTGTGGTTTCAGGAAACAAACGTCCAGCAGAACTGCAACCTGTCAGTGAGGGTAAGGTCAATGCTACCTACTTCCCCCAGGAAGAGGGCAAGTGCAAGGTCGAGGTCAAGTACGCTGACCAACAGGTTCCTGGCAGGTAAGAAACTTGAAGAAAAGAAAAAAAGACATACCCACACTGAACCCTAAAGATATCAAATACCCACCTGTCAAATTAATCTTGTAAAACTGTTGTTCCTTCTACTTTCACTTTACTCAGTGAATGCTAAGTGATGTCTATATGTTTGAAACATTTAATCAATTAACACGAATTGATTTCAAGTTCATTTGTGCTTATATTAGATCAAAATATTACTGTCTTTCCGTCAACACTAGTTTGTTTTTAGAGACAGATGTACAACTACTAATGAAATAATATTTTTTTTCCCCCGACAGTCCATTTGCTATGCAAGTGCTACCGACTTGTGACCCCAACCGCGTTCTCGTCACAGGATCAGGAGTTGGACCAAATATCCACGCCAGCAAGCCAGTCACTTTCACCATCGATACCAGCGAGGCTGGTGTGGGTGACCTTGAGGTCACTGTAATGGTAAGTATCTAAATACAAACCTTGTTTCAGTAATTGATGGGTCAGTCAATAAAGTGCTTATTTTATATCTGGTTAAATAAAAGTGGATTTTTTTTTACAGATTTTTTACTATTTGTATAAGTTAATATATATTTATACATTTTTAAGTTACCTCCCTATTTCTGTAATTAGTTGCATTGTCTGTTATTCAGGAGTTTTTTTCCCCTTGACTAGCTATGAAATATTCCAATCCTGTACAGGATTTGCCTCCCCTTATTCAGTCTTTTTATAAAGTTGGTTAAAAGATTGAGCTAGTGTTTCTGCCCACATTTTAACCTAAAATTGTTTCAAATTAAGTCAGATTAACACAGAGGTGGTGACAGGGTTACCGTGTATAGTGAATGACCTTGACCTTTCACCACCTCCCTAATGATGTAAATGTTAGTAATGGTATCAGTCTCCCTATTGTCTATCACTGGTCCATCTTTCTGCCAGGGAAACAGGTTAATTCTATCACTGGTCCATCTTTCCGCCAGGGAAAGGGGTTAACTGTATCACTGGTCCATCGTTCTGCCAGGGAAATGGGTTAATTCTATCATTGGTCCATCTTTCTGCAAGGGAAAGGGGTTAACTCTAGCACTGGTCCATCTTTCTGCTAGGGAAAGGGGTTAATTCTATCATTGGTCCATCTTTCTGGCAGGGAAAGGGGTTAATTCTATCATTGGTCCATCTTTCTGCCAGTGAAAGGGGTTAATTCTATCACTTGTCCATCTTTCTGCCAGTGAAAGGGGTTAATTCTATCATTGGTCCATCTTTCTGCTAGGGAAAGGGGTTAATTCTATCACTGGTCCATCTTTCTGCCAGGGAAACAGGTTAATTCTATCACTTGTCCATCTTTCTGCCAGGGAAACAGGTTAACTCTATCACTGGTCCATCTTTCTGCCAGGGAAAGGGGTTAACTCTATCACTGGTCCATCTTTCTGCCAGGGAAACAGGTTGATTCTATCACTGGTCCATCTTTCTGCCAGGGAAACAGGTTAATTCTATCACTGGTCCATCTTTCTGCCAGGGAAAGGGGTTAATTCTATCACTGGTCCATCTTTCTGCCAGGGAAAGGGGTTAATTCTATCACTGGTCCATCTTTCTGCCAGGGAAAGGGGTTAATTCTATCACTGGTCCATCTTTCTGCCAGGGAAAGGGGTTAATTCTATCACTGGTCCATCTTTCTGCAAGGGAAAGGGGTTAATTCTATCACTGGTCCATCTTTCTGTCAGGGAAAGGGGTTAATTCTATCACTGGTCCATCTTTCTGCCAGGGAAACAGGTTAACTTTATCACTGGTCCATCTTTCTGGCAGGGAAACAGGTTAATTCTATCACTGGTCCATCTTTCTGCCAGGGAAAGGGGTTAATTCCGAAAACCATCCATCACTCGAATTCTTACGGAAACCTGTCGTAAATCACGCTCCATTTCCTAAGTAATTTTTACTCGGACCGGTTGTCAAGCTTCCCTGTAATAATGAGTTACAGAAGTGGAAACAAGGATAAAATGTTACAAAGCTTTCAAACACAGGCGGACCTCATCTCTCTCATTTTTGGCCTTAGCGGCGTAACATCACAACTGAGGCGAATGGCTCCTGCTGTTAAATTGTACACACACTGTGCATTACTTTTAAGAATGTTGGCCACGTGCCAAAGTTATGGTGTTTGATACATAGGGTTTTGTAGGGCCACATTTATTAGACAACAGCTATGGGGAGGCACGTAGCTCCGAAAGTTTCAACTACTAGAATATGGCTACTGCATTGAAAGGAAATATTGAATCACAGAAAATTATAAAAATTTGAGACTTTTCATGAATTTACACGAAAAATTAATCTCTCACAAAGAGAAAGTGAGTAACAGTAATTGAGAAAGTAGATTTTGCTATTTTTTGTCTAAAATTTGAATTATTTTTCTGTGAATGCCCCAAAATATCTGAAATATGTAGATTGAATTCAAAGAATGCTGAAGAACATTGCTATTATTTCCTCGTCCCAAGTGTACATTTGCAAAAATGTGTAATGTGCTAGAATATACACCATTAACACCGGATGAAAAACACCATTGTAATATTTGTTGGCGTCTTGTATGTAAATGGAATTACATTGGACTTGTAGGGTGATAGAATCCAGGTGGTTACAGGAAAACTTTATATGAATCGGTAAACAAATTAGTCGGGACAGAAATAGAAACACAGTGGAAAGATTTCATCAATTTGAACAGACAGATTGATAAACGTCTCATTTTTTTTTCTTTGAAACTTTAAATAAGTTAGGCTGTAACTTACGTAATGTACTTTGTAGTAACTTGGTGAACTAGCGTTTGTGTCTACGTAGGGAAACATCTGATACTGGGAAGTAGGATTAATGAGGTCAAAAGAAATTAAGAACCTCATTATTCCAGGTGTTTTGGTTTAAGTAAAAGTTTTGATTTTTTTTTTTAGATAAAATGAAACTTAGCTTTCTCTAATATAGCATCTGTTTCTTGATAATTATGAAATAATCTTGAGTTTGGATGGATAGCAAAAGCTGTAACTCCTTGATATCATTAAGCTGTATTTCGATAGTCTCGTATATTGTGAAGCAATAGTGTTGTTTTTTTAAAGATTTGTCTTTTGCACTTTCATTGTCTTTTAGAAAGAATATTGAATGATTTTATTGGTTGTGTAGCTGGTCGACTGACTCATACTTCTGTTTGCTTCCTCAGAGACCAGATGGGTCATACATCAGCCCCGTTGTCCAGGACAACGGTGACGGTACCTTCACAGTGTCCTACATCCCTGATGACCTCGGACTGTACAAGATCAACGTCAAGTTTGGAGGAAAGAACGTCCCCAACTCGCCCTTCAAGGTCAAGGCCTTGCCCACTGGAGACGCCAGCAAATGTAGAATCACAGGTGCGTTTAGCTGTGTGAAAAATTAAAAATGGAAAATGAAATCATTTTCACAATGTTATCGTGTTTAAACATTATCACAGAAATATATATATGTGGCCAGTCTCTCAGGTATCTCTACTGTGTAAAGATGCTACGATTCTATAAGAAGACCCGTTTATATTCCATGAACTATAGTTATAGTTGCAGAAAAGGCATCAGTCCTATTTAGCAAGCTTGTCTTGAACAAACCACCATTTTCTCATCCAAACAAATGAAATTACTACACAGGTATATTAATACCCTGTTTGTAGACCACCTCTGTTAAGAGACCATTCTTGAGGTTTCCATTTAATGGTCTCGTAATACAGATTTGACTGTAGTTACTGATTTGAGTTTTAAACTGACAGACATTGATTGTTGATTGAATTGATCAATGTTACAGAGGGGCTTGACAACAAATTTGTACCGATCAACAAGGAGACCGTGATTACCGTGGACGCTTCTCAGGCCGGAGATGGTAAAGTCACCTGTCGCATCCGTAGCCCAAGTGGCAACGATATTGACATCGATATCGTGGAGAACCCTGATGGTACCTTCAGCCTCCTTTTCACCCCGCAAGTTGCCGGCGCCTACACAATCAACATCAAGTTTGGCGGTCAGACAGTACCAGGTGGTGAATACGACATCCAGGTAAGAGGCATGATGGGTAATGTGGCTAGTGGAGATGTAAAAAGTAAAAGTGTTTTCATTAAAAAACATTTCAAAAGCTGCAGTTTTATTTTGTTAAAGAGAATGCTCGTTGTTTTATTTGAAGTGAATATTTTTTTCTTTATTCATTATAATTGTGAATTTGTTTATGATTTTTTTGAAAAAATTTCATCTATTTCTGTTGCGCTTTGATGGTGCTGTAAATTCTTTTCGACTCCTTTTTATTCTTTGTTGATTTACGTTGGCATGGTACCAGTGAGATGTTGCCTTGCACAAGTCTTTCCAGGGTATTAATTTAGTCCAGTGAATCCAGCCACCACTAACCCCTTTGTCCCACTATTGCCCCATTATTGAGCCAGGGATTTAGGGGACAGATTGATATATTTCTATCAAACTGAATCCTAGCGGTGTTTCGCTGGGAACAAAGGTGGCTGAATTTATTGAGACTGAACTATTGTTTTGCGTCATGGTCTGAATTTCTGTCAATGAAATTTGAACAAACATTTTTTTTTTTTTTTACTTTTAATAATATGCAAAAGAAATTAAAATAATATAACAATCCCTTCAATTTTGACAAGAGTGAGATACAAGAAGCTTTGAAAGAGATTAAGAAAACTTAAATGTGGTCTGTGAAATATCTTTACTGTAACTTGTGCTGGCAATACTCTGAACTGCACATGATTTCTGTGGTTTAAGTACGATGTTTGTGTTTGCCTGCATGTTTTGCGCTGTAAATCTATTTATTTACGTTAGAATGATGAATGTTAGTCGTAGCTAGTCATGCATCCTGTCTTGTGCATGGGTCTCAGTGTAAGCCGCAGACAACACCCGTCTGGGGCGACTGTACAATGAAATTCTGTTAAAGAGTTTCGTATAGATAGCGTTAGATAAGGCTTGGCAGGGGGAGATAGAATGAACCCCTGCATAAGCTTCCGACACTGAGAGAGTTTATTTATCATACTGGGAAGAAAACGGTCGGACATTTATTTTATTTGTTCAGTGAGATCATTAAATCAGAAAAGATAATTTGCCTGTGTTTAAGATTTGGTGTTTGTGTGTGGTTAATATTCTAGTTGTGAATTTGGCAAGTTATGAAAGAAAACAAGAAAATAATGGGTATTTTTGTCATGAAAGCATATATATGCGGTGTCGTTACGACATCAGCACGCTTGGAATCCTGTAGAAATTCCTACACAGGTCTTGTCAGTAGATGTCATCAGCTGTCTGCCTGAACCTCCTTACTTTCCTCTTCCTGTCTGACAGAAAACAAGATCAATTTGTCGGTGAGTTCGGTATTGGTTGGAATTTTGTGAATGTGGTCAGACGTTTGGACCGTGTGTGTACTGCGGAACATATCGGCGGCGGCGGGGTTTATTGTGTTCATCCTGTATTTAGCAACAGTAGGAAGTTCCTGCATTGCACTTGTAGATAAAACAACACTGTCGATCTTATCAGCAGTTAGTCTGTTTTGGAGTTAGATTCCTCATTCATGATCAGCTGTAAATTTGTGTCTTCCACTAAGAATTCTTAGAGATACTACAGAAAGGAGGAATTTTACATTGCCTAATTTCCTAGAAACCTGGTAATTCTGACGTTGGGGTTCATTAGCTGTGTAGTTCTCTGGTACAATTGATAGACTTGGAGCTCAGAGATTAGGCATGTTTTTGTCTTGATTAAATCCTATCTCCCCTGTGAATTGGAGGTACCTTTTCTTTGATTGAATTATTCCGTTATGAGAATGAAGGATGAATTGATTTTGGTAAATCTGTCTAATTCTAAGTTCAAATAAATCCATCATTATGGGAGTTAAGAGTGAAGGATTTTTTTTGTGGAGGTAGAAATTCCAAGGTATTAATCTTGTACAGGGCAACATAATCAGATCTCGGGCAGAGAAAGGAAACACTATAGCACAGCATTTTAAATGTCGGAGAAAACCATCTTGTTACGTTAAAAGCATTCTTTTTTTTCTCTCCTAAAAAATCTGGAATTTCTTAAGGTAATCTTTTTCATTGGTTAATTGACTATCTTTGTGAACTTACAAACTTGTCTGATTATAGGGTAGTGTTTATGATCTACAAATGAAATTTTATCTGGTAATACCAAGGCTTCTATCCTCCAGTGCTCTCTGTAATACCGGGTGTTAATGTTTGGTTATGTGAGTTATGCTTGGAGGGAAATGACGGACTCGCTTCTGATGAAGACAAGATGGTATAATCGTGTATATTTCAAACTTAAACAGTATGATTCACCCACATCTGTGCACATGTCCCCTTCTAAAAGTGCACAGGCGATTCAAACCATATGGAAATCTGGAGGTCTAAGGTCACATTAAAAGCTGTGATAATAATTGAAACTTTTGAAAAGGAACATTACTATGGAGATTAAGTATAGATACAAAGTTAATTTAAGGAGGATTAAGAAGTGTTATGTATGCAGAATGGGCGTCCAAAAATCAGAAAATTACCCAATAGTTCCGCAATGTAATATTTGAGGAGAACATGGAACATTTAGCTCAAGCATACCCAGCTGTATAGGAAGAAGTGCTGTATTCCAGGTGCATGTGGAAAGTTGAAAATCAATGGAAGCTGTGAGAACTTATGTCTAATCCCTTTAATTGGTATTAGTAAATAAAATCAGTTGGAATATTTTTTTATGTTTCGATAGGACTCTCTGGGTAATAGTCATAAAGAAATTGATTTGTTGGTTATGACTTAGGTGTACCTTGCTGAGAAATGCCTGTGTAACCAACATATGTAGTCTTTATTCAAAGAAACTTTTTGTAGTTGTTTAAAGTTTGCTAGATTGCCTTGAAATTTGTTTCCATGGCAACAAAATGGCTATAAATGCCAGCGTTTTAGGGTTAATTTCTGTCTAAAATTTATTGCACTCACATTTTTTTCCCCCTTTGTTTACTCATTGATGTGAATTTCTCCCAGGTTTTTCGTGTCCATTTTCATTCATAGCATAGCGTAAAGAGTTATGTCTGCAAAGTAAGATGATTGTAAGTGGTACTTGGGTTAAGGGGCAATAACTCACCAAACCAACACAAGTTTACCTCACAATCGCATTGTGTGGGAACACTGGATTTCTTTATATCAGTTGTATCTATACTATAGCAGTCATCTGGTCTTACAGAAATCATTTTGGCACAATTTGGCCTGATGATTTATTTCTGTCGAAAGATTGAACATAGAATTATAAGCACACTCTGATCTTCAACTGTTTTCCTCTAAACAGTGTGTATGGAATTATAAGCACACTGAGGCCTTTTTAACTGTTTTCCTCATAAGAGTGAACACAGAATTACAAGAACTCTCTGGCCTAGAACTGTTTTCCTCGTAAGAGTGAACAAAGAATTACAAGAACTCTCTGGCCTAAAACTGTTTTCGTCGGAAATGATGTACAAATAATATATGTGTTTAACAATGACAGTTGGCACCAGCCCTGATCACGTGAATAATGGAAGCAGGGGGCCATCTATTATATTGTATCATGAATTCCTGTCCAAATGTCAGTTTTTCTATTTTTATATAACCTAGATAATGCCCCCCACAACTCTGTTGTTTGACTGAGCTCCAAACGATTTCACAAGTTTTGGATACTGGCTTCCATTTCCTGCTAAATTCCAGACATAGTTGTTGCACATTCTTAGACTTGGTTGCTATGCAGAAGCCACAGTTACTTAGACTCAAGTAGTAATCTTGATAGATTCTATTTTCCCTTGGTCTTTAACCTTTTTAACAGTTGAAATTGTTCAAAATAGAAGATGTATCTATTATTAAGGCCTCAAGGATCGACAAACATCAATAATACTTATAACATCTGCTATATGTGGTGTATCAAGCTAAATCCTTCTCATACACGGCAAGTCAATATCTAGTTGGTGGTAATCCTAAAATTTGGGGACCGATACAAGCTTGCTGATTTTAAAGAAATCAGTTTCAAATGTTGGTCTGTAGAAAATAAGAAAATTCTTAAGAAATCCAGATGTTATCTCTTCACTTGCTCATCATATCATTTCTTGTAAACCAACAAGTTAAGATGTAGGCAAATAATACTTTTACTTAAAAGTGTCTTAAGAATACAAATATCCGACTTGTTGTTATTTTCTTAAAACCAAACAACTTTGGCGTTGATTCAGCGATGAACAGCTTTCTGAACTTGTGTCTAGTGACTGAGATTACTCTGCTATCTTATCTCCAGTGCATATCTATTGAGAAGCTTTTTTTGAACCTTGACATATTATTCCATTAAGGGCATCGATGTTACGCTGTTCAGGATAATTTCATCATGTCTTTGCGGAGTGGGGAGTTCAGAACAGCTGTTGCTGCTGGTATTGGGATGCTGAAGGGATGTGTGAACATCTCCTCAACATTTTAATTACATGTCAATATGGCGAGTTAGATGGTTCTGTTAGAAGAAAAAAAATCTAATTGAAAGTAGAAGTAAAACCTACAAGTTGGATAGGTTTGGGTCATCGTTACTGGGGGAATGACGACAACTGCTTCCTGTTCCTGACGAGTTCAGGCTGTCTCTCCTGGTGGAAGACGGCTTTTTCCTTCCTGTAAATGAATTTACTTTGGTGAATTCAAAATAATTATTAGACAGGTTATATTAACATGTGATTGCTCAATTATAAATCTGTATATTTTTGTGTAAGTTAAGATCATATAATGGTTTTACCATAGCAACCTGAGTTTAAAAATAGTAAGCTTTTTATTAGTTTATAATTAATCTGTGACTTTCCATGGGGGTTTGTTTGTTTTTAGTCGGTTAAAGAAAATCTATTAAAGTATTGGTTATATTTTGGCAGAATTATTTCATCCAGTGTAGACTGATGTAATTGCTAAGTATTCTATTTTTATTAGTAACAGTAAAAATATTTTCAGAATAAAAACAAACTTTGTCTAACAATTTTCTTCAAGTTAGATTCAGGTTAATTCCATAGTAAAAACAGATTTAAGAAATCTGATAAAAATAAAATTCTCTCAATTTTGAGCAATATGGTTGCTGACACAAGATTGAGTGCAGATCTTTTTTTCTGTTTCTGACTTCAGAGGAATTAAAAGAAAAAAAGTTTAAAGCAAATTAAAAGATATTATTGTCATAAAAATGTCAGAACATAAAAAACCCAGGTTATGTGTTTTTCTGTCAATTTATTTTTTCTTTAAAGCTGTTGCCATGACAACACACCTAACTCAGAGTTTCTTTATGGATTTCGTGAGAGAAGGTTGGAGTGGTTCGTCTTTAAAAAACCTCCCAGGTTAATCTGTTAGCAATAGTTTGTAAATCTGTTTTGACAACTGCTTGAGGAAACGAAAGCTATTAGAGCGAGATGAACTGAAATTGTCGTGAGCAGTTATCGCCGAGTTTGTAAACATTTTCTGATTTATCCAAAGTTGAGATCAAGGAAACAAGCCAAGAATTTTGTTGAAGCTCATCACGGTCGATAAAAAGCTTTTGCAGACATGGTTTTGGCAGCAAATCGTGTGCACATTGAGTCAGGTGTGATGTAATTTGGTTACAAATATTCACCGAAACATTGGCTCAACAAGGAAAGCAAGGAATGTTATCTTAGGAATTTTGAAGAAATTTCACTATTTGAGATTCTGTTCGTAAAATGAATGAAGAAGCAAAGAAACCCTCTTCTACCGGTAAATATCCTTAACTATTTATTTTAAAAAAAACAGGATGAAAAAGTTTGTGGAAGGAAATGGAGTGAATTGATGTAGATTGTTTAGATTTTGTGGTTTAGTGTTTCACTTACCTGAAGTGGGTACTTGTCTAGCAGTGAATCTAAAGGATGTGGAAGATTCCTGGAATTTCAGAGGTTTCACTTGATGCATTTTCAAACGTTTTACTGAAATATAACCATTTTATACTTCATTTTGTCAAAAATAATTACCTATTTTATATGGAAAACTTGAAAAACAGGAGATGGCCATTTGGGTATGCACAGTTGTGCCAAATGAATAAGACATAAGCAGAATTTCAAGAAATTTGAAAAACATAAAATTGTGTTGCTGCCTTGTTGATTTGAAGAGAAAATGGAATTCATGTGATGATGTCTAAAGGAACCTAGATTTTATCACTAAAACATGTAACAAGCTGTTATAATGGACACTAATAAACTCTCCTTATTGTCCAAGGTTTGGTTGTGCAAGCATAATGTTCTACTTTTCAATATTTCATATTATATGTATATATATATAAACAACCTGGTAGGCTATTCTAGAGATTTGTATCAAGAATTATCTTCAAATCTACAGAACAGACCTCTTTTTCTCTAGGCTAACAGCTGATAAAGGATTTCTGAAGGATTAACAGCTAAAACATATACATAAAGTATGGTACCCCCCCACCTCCCACCCCCACCCTTAACTTATCTCCCTCTAGGTTTGCCTAAGCCACCTAATACAGCACGATACATAAACTCCACCGATTTTCCTAGACTCTTGAGAGATTTCAACTCTTCAGCATAAATAGCAACATAATGGAAAGAATTTCTGGAAAACCTTCAGCAATTATTTGTGATGCTTTATTTTCTCACAGATAGTTTTTGGCAATTAATGATTCACCAGGAAAAACTTCTATTTCGTGAAATCCAGATAGGTGTGCTGTTGCAAAATAAATTGAATTTGCAAAATGACAAGCTAGAAAATGTGTTTTATCATATTTTTTTTTTTTACCAAAAGCCTTCATAAAGATATTATATAAGTTCTGTGTTTTTCTGATACACCGGAAATCTTCAAGTCTAAAAGCAATTTAAGGAGGACTCAATTAGAAGGTGCAGCACAAGCTCCTCATTATCAAATTATGACCCATTTGTTGTATACTTTACTAATGACAATTGGCATGTGTGTTGTGCCAATTTCCGCTCGGACTGTACACACAATGCAAGTTACCGATGCTCCTACGCAATCTCCGGAATCAGAAAAAGGAGATAACTGTGGTTCATAAGAGGAAGAAGTTTTGTCGAATCATGTATATATTTCAAACTTTAATACCTGTCTAATCTCATAACAGGTCACATCGCTAAGAGATATGTAACATCGCTAAGAGATATGTAACATCGCTAAGAGATATGCACCAAAGTTTCTGCTCCTTATTTTCCAGAACCAAGTCAGAATTTTTGACTGATTTTTTGTTTCCGTCTTGGCTCACAGCGTTTTTATCATCAGGTCTGTGTCTAAATCTTTCTGGAATAAGACGGCATTGTCTGTCGGCAAATATGTTAATTTTGTGTTTAGATTGAGAAGATGGTTGGCAGCTGCTGCCACGGTTACTGATGCGAGCTCTTCAGTCAAAAGAGGTGATTGAGATACTACATTAAACCACAACTAAACGGAGGGGGTGTTTTCTGAAAGCTACTCTCTGGCTGGTGTAGGCCTGTAGCATCAGAACCAACCGCCTAACATGGATCATATCCTGCACTTATCCTATATTGTCATCGCCAGGGGAGATAAACTTGATAACGTTACAACTAGAGTATATTCTGTATGCGTATAAATACTATATTTACCGAGGCAGTAGATGGCTGTTATAAAATTTCTCAATGTTAAAGTTCTTGGATGGTTTATGGGCTATGGAAATTTTAAACATTTTGTTCAATTTTGATAACAAGAGATTAGCTTGTATAAGATGATTTCATTAAAAGATGCACTGTATTACCCAAATTGAATTGACGTTTGATTATCTGTGTTAAGGTGCGGCTTTTGATTTAATGTTGGAGACGGTTGAAATTTGTGTCTGTTTTACGTCTGAATTGTGTCTATCAAAAAGTCTGTCTTTTCTGCCAAGTAATTTATAATGGCTCCTGGCTCATGCTATTTTCATCTGAATTTTATCTCTTATTATGTTATAATGCCTGCACCTCCAGTATATAGGAAAAATCTGCATTTTCAAACAAGTAATATTATCAATTTAATCGTTGCCGTGGCAACAAGTTCAAAATGGCTGTCATAGGTGATTTATGAATGAGGTAAATTGACTCAACATGTCTATCTGCATGTTGATGGGTGAGAAATTAACCTACACTATAAAATGATGATTATTTCGATGATAGCCAGCATGACCTGTATCATCGTAGAAAATTGGTCAGTGCAACGGAATAGGAGCATGAAAGTACAAACCTGGGGAACATCTCAGCATGAAAGTACAAACCTGGGGAACATCTCAGCATGAATGTACAAACTAAGGGGAAATCTCAGCATGTGCAAACTGCCTATCATATAAACATATATATATATATATACACATACAAACCTATATTTGTAGTAGCTAGCTGTCTCTACAGAATAAGCAAAGTCATAGATTTATTTTAGTACATTTTTTACACTTTTCTTTTTTTCCCAAAAAAAGGTCACGACCAATTCATGTGATTGGCGGAATATGGTAAGAAATTGTTATTTTTATTTTTATTTTGTAGATTTCAAGTAAAATTTGAAACATATACTTAACTAGGTTTTTAACCAATCACACATGCTTATTCATATCACATAATGTGTGAGATTTGCCATCACTGCTGTCACATATACTAAGAACCAACTATAAAACTGTAATATTAGAGAACTTATAACATTTAGTACAGTAAGCCTCTAGTGTGCATGCCAAAAAGTCACTAGCTATTTATATACAGTGAAATGACAATTGATACAAGCTGCCCAAGTGAAATTTTATCTCAGTGAAGTCTAATAAAAATGTGTCTGGTCATTTTTCCAAATTAATACCTTTTTTTTTTAGAATTTTGAGGCTATTGTTATACCAACCAAAACTGAAAGGAATGCTCCATAATTTCTGTTCTGAGCAATTCAAAGGCATCAATGGCCATTGTGATCTGAACATTTGTTATTCGGCGATTTGTATTAATTTTGTCTCTAGATTTAAAAAATTAAGTAAATTTTTCTATTCAGGGTTAGTGTTGTATCATTGATAACTTAATTTTGAAAAAGTTGAATGATTTCTTTCCTTACATGTAGTTTTCAGAAATTCAGAATAGAAGGAAAATTCAAATTTTTGGTCCATTGTTCAAAGGTTTTGCCATTTTTGAATAAAACAAAACCCACTAACTTTCAGTTATATTTGAAAATAGTTTTTTAGCATATACATAGCTGTATCCGTTATTACTTTCTTTCTTTCTTTTAAGTTTTCGTCTACTTGAAAAAAATACTTTTAGTTGTTCAGGAGTTTGTGAGTAGTAGTTACTGCAGTGTTACATCACCAAGAAGTTGACCTTGGTAACCAAGGTGATCTAGAGGTCATAGAAATATCAGCCTGAAAGCATGTGTGGCGCCGATCCTCTAAAGGTTTAGGTTGAAAAGCAGGTTAATGGCTAAAAGGTTGCGAAATAAGTTTCACTAAAAGCAGACAGAAAAAAACGGAGATCACGCTTTACCGATAAAACAGAATAACCTTCCTGATTTCTATCAGATTTCGGAATGAAAGGCTGTTAGATATTTGTTTATTGCCAATCAAATAACACCAAGGTCACAAGATCTACCTATCAATAACACAGTGTAATAATAGGTCGAGGTTTATAGCTATATTTAAGGATGAAAGGCTGTGGAATATGTTACTGTAAGATATAAGAAGTTTCACACCATTTTTATGCCTATTTTTTCCCTATTTGCCCCCCCAAGATGTCTACCAGTTTTAATTCCCCGTAAAATGGGTTTGAGTTACGAGGCAGGTTTATCTGTTCTAAGAGACCTCGAAGTGTACCAGTGCAGGTAAATTAGGGGCCTTCAGGTGGATTAGGCATCTACATGTAGATTAGGGGCCTAATTAAGGTAGATACTAGGGCAGGGGATTACTTTCTCACTAAACATTCATTCCTCTCAACTGCTACAATTGAGCTCATCTAAAATTTACAGGCATTTTATCATAACCTTATGTCTAGAAATTACATCTGGAGCCTCGAACAGCAGAATTTGAATGCAAAAACTTAATATAATCGGGGGAAAAGTTGTGTCTAAGCGAAATTAATACATGTGTTCGTTACAGAAGATTAGGAGCAGTATCTTCCTCGAATATTATTATTAACTTGGGAGTTTGTTGTTTATACTCCAAATAATTACATAAGTTTGATAACAGACGTGATTACCAAATTCCGCGTGTAATTTATCCCAGATTCTGAAGTTTCAAATGGGGGAGAATTCACTGGAAGTTTTGAATTAGTGAAAGATTTGCAGAGGTTCTGACATATTAGTGTTGGGTTTAGCATGTAATTTCCAGTCTTAGTTTCGTATCATTAACGAAGATCTCTCTGTCTTTATATTAAGCAGACTGAAGATTCAATTCTGGTTTCTGTCGCAGACAAACGAACATTGTTTTGGTGAAAAGAAGCCTGGATATTGCATTGGACATAGATTTATTTTCTTAATCATTGATTTTTTGTTTGAAAATGAACAAAAGAAACATGATAGTGCTCTCTGCAAGGTTTCGTAATGTTGAAACTATGACCAGACCATAAACATAATCTAATTGCCTCATCTGCAATTACAAACAAATGGCTAACTTTGTAAATAGGCATCAGAAGAAAGCCTATAAATGAATGGCTTTTGTTAGAAGTGATCCACTCAAGATGGTCTTTAATTTGTCTGTGCCCCGTAGATCAAACGCGAAAAATTGCTGTTGAATTAAACAGCATCTGTCTGTATTCTCTGATTTTATATAGCACAAAACATCCTCTGATACCGTTATCTGTGGAAAATAAAACAGAAAGTGTAACAATGAAAATGGACAACAAATGGAGGTCATTTTCTTATATAAGGGTCAACACACCTAGACTTTGTAGTAAATCTAATAGTTAATCAAATTTAGATATTAACATTTAGTTTTATATTAAATGTTATTTGCTAATCTGTGACGAAATGGATTACGATAAATTTGTTTCCATTGATTCCTCATTTACATGCATTTTCATCATTTGCATATTTTTCTCATTAGCATAATTTTGGTAATTTGCATATTTATCTCATTTACATATTTATTTCATTTGCATACTCTAATTTGCATATCTAGCTTTAAATCTTTATTAGGTGTAACCTAAAAGATGAAATCGTATCTTCAAAGGAAATAATTTAACTTATCATGATAGCGTATATTGTAAAGAGGAAAGCCATTTGACAGCTGATGCAGTGTATCCTTGGTAAATTCTCAAATACCTCATCCTCAAAAAGTTTTGTGCCAAACTACTATAAGCTAAGTACTTCACACTGGAGTATTTGTTTGCGATATCATCTATTATGTAGAAACATGGTTCATAAATAAACAAATTCTCACCTATAAAAGGGGTAATTTAGGAAAAGTACATGTGGTTGTGATTGATGTTTTAAAAAAGTAAAACTTGTTTTCCCGAGAAATCACAGCCAGCCCTGTAGGTTATTGGGGATGTGTATGTAGGGCTTCGGGATAAGTCACAGCCAGCCCTGTAGGTTATTGGGGATGTATATGTAGGGCTCCAGGATAAATCACAGCCAGTCCTGTAGGTTATTGGGGATGGGTATGTAGGGCTTCAGGATAAATCACAGCCAGTCCTGTAGGTTATTGGGGGTGTGTATGTAGGGCTTCAGGATAAGTCCCAGCCAGTCCTGTAGGTTATTGGGGATGGGTATGTAGGGCTTCAGGAAAAGTCATAGCCAGCCCTGTAGGTTATTGGGGAAGTGTATGTAGGGCTCCAGGATAAATCACAGCCAGTCCTGTAGGTTATTGGGGGTGTGTATGTAGGGCTCCAGGATAAATCACAGCCAGGCCTGTAGGTTATTGGGGATGTGTATGTGGGGCTTCAGGATAAATCATAGCCAGCCCTGTAGGTTATTGGGGATGTATATGTAGGGCTCCAGGATAAATCACAGCCAGTCCTGTAGGTTATTGGGGATGTGCATGTAGGGCTTCAGGAAAAGTCATAGCCAGCCCTGTAGGTTATTGGGGAAGTGTATGTAGGGCTCCAGGATAAATCACAGCCAGGCCTGTAGGTTATTGGGGATGTGTATGTGGGGCTTCAGGATAAATCATAGCCAGCCCTGTAGGTTATTGGGGGTGTGTATGTAGGGCTTCAGGATAAGTCTCAGCCAGCCCTGTAGGTTGTTTGGGATGTGTATGTAGGGCTTCAGGATAAATCACAGCCAGCCCTGGAGGTTATTGGGGATGTGTATGTAGGGCTCCGGGATAAATCACAGCCCGCCCTGTAGGTTATTGGGGATGTGTATGTAGTGCTCCAGGATAAATCACAGCCAGCCCTCTAGGTTATTGGGGATGTGTATGTAGGGCTTAAGGATAAGTCACAGCCAGTCCTGTAGGTTATTTGGGATGTGTATGTAGCGCTCCAGGATAAATCACAGCCAGCCCTTTAGGTTATTGGGGATGTGTATGTAGGGCTCCGGGATAAATCACAGCCCGCCCTGTAGGTTATTGGGGATGTGTATGTGGGGCTTCAGGATAAATCATAGCCAGCCCTGTAGGTTATTGGGGGTGTGTATGTAGGGCTCCAGGATAAATCACAGCCAGCCCTCTAGGTTATTGGGGATGTGTATGTAGGGCTCCAGGATACATCACAGCCAGCCCTGTAGGTTATTGGGGATCTGTATGTAGGGCTCCAGGATAAATCACAGCCAGTCCTGTAGGTTATTGGGGATGTGTATGTAGGGCTTCAGGAAAAGTCATAGCCAGCCCTGTAGGTTATTGGGGATGTGTATGTAGGGCTCCAGGATAAATCACAGCCAGTCCTGTAGGTTATTGGGGATGTGGATGTAGGGCTTCAGGACAAGTCATAGCCAGCCCTGTAGGTTATTGGGGATGGGTATGTAGGGCTTCAGGATAAATCACAGCCAGCCCTGTAGGTTATTGGGGATGTGTATGTAGGGCTTCAGGATAGGTCACAGCCAGTCCTGTAGGTTATTGGGGATGGGTATGTAGGGCTTCAGGATAAATCACAGCCAGTCCTGTAGGTTATTGGGGATGTGTATGTAGGGCTCCAGTACCAGTAGTTTAGGGGTCAGATACAAGGGCTAGTCCTTTATGTTGTGTTGGTGCCTAATGCTTTATATCAGGATGTTTCCAGCTCCCTCTCTATAGCACATACTGTGTACGAGCAAGCACCAGTCATCGATATAGGCTGGATGTGATATCTAACTTTCAACCAGCCTTAACTAAACAAAAAACCACAAATTACGGAAACCCAAACAGCTCTGCTTGACTACAACACAGAACCACGCATATAATGTAATAACCTTTGACGGGATGAAACGGCTCATGTAACTTCCCTTACAACTCTGATATATAGTTTGTGCTGATATGCATGGAAAGATGAAGTTGTCAGTTTTGGTGATGAAGGGTTGGTATTGACTATTGATAGATGTATTCATTCTGTAGAAATTCATTCATCTCATTCTGTT